AGCCAATATTAAGATTTTTATAATATATTTTTAAAAAAATTATAAATAAATCTTCATTAGAATTAGTCTTATAGTTATTCAATTGATCTTGGAAAAAAAATCAATTACCATTTAAACCAATTTATAGCTTATCATAGAATAAATTAGTTGCACTCAAAGAATACATTAATAAAAATTTGACTAATAAATTCTTATGCTATTTAAAATCTCCAATATGAATTCTTATCTTATTTGTAAAGAAAAATAACAAATATCTTTGGATATATGTGGATTATCAAAAATTCAATAAAATCATTATTAAAAATAAATAATATCTATTTTTTATATTTATATTTTTAAATAAATTGAATTGAGAAAATATCTATATAAAAATGATCTACAAAGTATATATAATTTAGTACTTATTGAAATAGAAGATGAATTGAAAATTACATTTTAAACCAAGTATTAGTTTAAAATATATAATATCATGCTTTTTGGATTGAAAAATGCATCAATTTCTTTTTAACATATAATCAATGATATTTTTATAATTTTTTAAATAAAATTATTATATATTATTTTTAAAATATTTTAATTTACTTTAAAAATACAAAAGAGTATGAACTTCATATTTGTCATGTGTTACAAAAACTTAGAGATGTAAGACTATATACCAAGATAGAGAAATATTTATTTTATATAACTTAAGATGAATTCTTAGGATATATCATTTTAAATGATGGTATTATAATAAGTCCTAAAAAAATTCAAACTATTAAAAATTAGAAGATTCTAAGATTAATAAAAAAAAATCAAATATTTTTTTAAATCTATTAAATATTATTAAATTTTTTATTAAGAATTTTTTGAAGTTGCAGCTTTATTTATATATTTAACTTGTGAAGATAAATTTGAGTAGAATAAATAAGCTAAATTTTTATTTAAAGCCTTAAAGTCAACTTTTACTATAATTACAATCTTATATTGCATTAATTTTCTTAATTTTGTCTTATAGAAAAAATTATATTAGACTTTGTCTTGGATGCAAGATTGTTATAAACATTAATGGATGTCCAACTTCACCTAGTAGCTTTTCATTCAATAAAAAAATTAATATTTGAGATGAATTATAAAATTTAGAAAAAAAAGCTTTTTGCAATTACAAATTTATTTTAAGAATAGTGCTATTATTTAGAATTTGATTTTAATCTAGACACTATTTATACATATCACAAGAATATCAAGTATTTTATATAAACATAAGCTTCAAATCATTGTAAAGCATGTTGGAACATGACTTGCTCAAGATTTAAATTTAAAATCACTTATTGATTAAAAAAATAAGTTTTATCATATATTATTTTTTTTAAAAAATAATTTTTATCAAAAGAAGTAAATATTACTTTTCATTAATAACAAAAAAATCTTTTGAAGTAAGAGAAATTTCATCTTATAGTAATGAAATCAATATTATCAATTGATTTAATATTTTTTAAGCAAGTTCAATTAAGTATATTCTTAGATCTTTTTATTTATGATATTAAGAAAAATCCTTATAAATCTCATACTACTTTTAACTTTTAATAAAAGAATGATCTTCTATTTTTCAAGAAATGCATATATATTTTAAAATATAAACCACAATTATATGCTCTTCAAGCTCATCATAATTTTCTAATTATATAATATTTTACATACAATAAAATCTTAAAGCTAATATCAAGAGATTTTCAGTAGCTATAAATGTGTAAAAACATTAAAGACTTTGTGCAATCATGTGATATTTGTTTTAAATCAAAAATCCCTTGTCATCAATCTTTTAGGCTTTTTCAACCACTACCTATACCAAAACAACATAATTTTTTTTTATTTCTATTGGATTTTATCACAAATCTTTTAATTTCAAATTCATATAACTTTATATTTGTGATAGCAGATCATTTCACTAAGAAAGCATAATTTTTATTATGTACAAAAAATATTATAAGTTAAAATATAACTATTTTTTATAATATTTATTTCTATCATAAATTTTTACTATATGTTATATTGGATAAAAAAAATTAATTTATATCAAGATTTTTAAAAATATTTTTTAAAATATTGAAGGTAGACATAAAACTATCTTTGGCTTTCTATCTTCAAACTCATGGACAAATAGAATGATGAATCAAATTTGGAAGCAAAATTTAAGATCTACTATCATTAAGAAGATTAAACAACTATTTTGCTATTGGTAGAGTTTGTCTATAATAACATGGTACATTCTTCTAATCAATATATTTGTATGCTAATTATAGTTATCATTCACAACTTAATACTTTTGATTTTTTTCAAATTGATAATTTTGTGGCAAAATATTTGTTAAATTGTTTATTATAGTTAATAAAGATAAAATTGAAGAAAGTTTAATAATTTCAAAAAATTAATATACATGTCAATTCTAAAGAAAAAATATAAATCCACATTGGCAATAAGATATGATTATTTTGTCTTAATATCAAGACTATTTGTACTTGTGATAAGTAGGATTACTATAGACTTGGACTACTTCTTATTTGTAAATACATCAATGTAATTTCTTATCAATTATACCTATTGAAGTTTATGAAAATCCATATTATATTCCATATGTCTCTTTTTGAGCCATACAAGACAAGAAATATATCAAAAAGAAGATAAATGCCATTATTTCTTATAGAAGTAGACAATAATCAAGAATTTGAAGTTGAAGAAGTCTTAAACTTAAGGCAATGCTAAAATAGATTAAAATATATTGTACATTGGCACAAATATGCTATTAATAAGTACACATGAGAATGAGCTTAGAATCTTGCAAATACAATGCAAAAAATTACTGATTTGCATTGACAACATCCATTACAACTAAAATAAAGAATTAAGCAATTTATTTATTATAAAAGAATTAAGGATCAATTAAGATTTTATTCTATTATTTATTTTTTTGTAGTTTCTTTGTATTTATGGCTCTAAAAAAATGAAGAATCAAAAATTAGTAGATTCATTTCAAGAGCTATTATTTATTGAATTATTTATTGATATATTAAGATTGTTGTAAATTTTAAGACAATATAATAGAGATGAAGACCTTCAAGAATAACATATTCTTTAAATAGATGGTATGATATAACATATTTGGAATCATGACTTTGGAAGAAACTTCTACTATTTAGTAATACTATTTGAGGTAGCAACTATCTATAATGGTGTTTCAAATGTTTTATTTGAAAGAAGTTATCAAAGTCTCAATGTGCTACATGGCTAACATATTCCACGAATTATCAATATGTGCAACATATGGCCAATTTTTTGGCCAAGTTTTTAATCTATCAATGACCAAAAAATATATAAAAAGCCAAATCCTTGTTTATGAAGCTTCTAAAAAACTTCTTTATAAGATATTATTAAGTCTACTTACTTCTACTAACTTTTATCTAACTTTTTTAATCTAAATAAATATATAGGTTTGTAGTATTATTCCTCTTTTTAAAAAGCCTTATTTAAATTATAGATTTAAATTTTATTATCTTCCTTATTAAAAAAAATAAACTTAAATAAATTTTAAAATAAAAAATAGTATAAAAATAATATGTATCTTTTTAAAGTATTTTTATTTTATAAATATTAATTTATTAGTTCTTTTAATATTTTTTAAAGAAAATTAATACATCTATAATATGTAATATATATAAGGTATATTTATTATATATATGAGATTATTTAGAATACATTTATTGGATGATATTATTAATGATTATATCTCAATTATACTTTAATTATGATTCTTTACATACTACTCCTAAAACAAAGAAAAAGACCTTAATATTGGTATTAATTATAATACAAAAATAAGTCATTTTATAAGTTTTTGAAATTAGGTAAATTGTTTTTCAAAATCATATGGTTTATCAAAAAAATTATTATTAATCATATTATAGTATACAAAGATATTGTTTTATAATTTCAATAAAATTATTAAATTAATTTAAACTATAATCGATTGTGTGTGTGTATATATATATATACATGTGAATTTGAATTAAAGATATAAAAATATTAAGAAAAAAATTATATAGAAAAAAGAGTCTAATTGAAAAGCAATCTTCTTTTTTTATTTGTTTTGATAAAGTGTAGATTATTGCACAGAAAAAACAATGACTTTAAAGATATAAATCATAACATTTTTATTAACTTAAAATTTTAAAAATTATATATATATATATATATATATATATATACATATATATATCAAGAGAAAATAATTTCAAAAAAAATAATTATTCAAAATTTGTAAACATATCTAACCATGCACACTTTGTAGTTGTTGAATATAGTATATGTTTTTATTTTTATCTATACAAGCTACTAGTTTGAAAAAGAAGTCATTAGAAGATGTGGAAAAAAATAATATATTTGAAGATACATAAAAGTGCCATCTTTATTAAATTGCTAATCACAAAACATATATAGTTTAAAGAGTAAGCTATTTGAAGAACCTAAAATTTCAGATGTGTAGCAAATTTAATATATATATTTATTTAATTTTTTTAACAGGAAAGAATGAAAATAGAGGCTTTTACAAAATACTCAAAAACATGTGTTAAAATCTTACTTGGTAATTATTTCTACAATTTTTTGGCTTAATTTGTATAGATAAAATATTATAATATACTCAAAAAATTATCTATGTGTATATGAAAGTAAATAAAAAAATATAAAACTAATAAACATAACTTTTTAAACTTTTCATTCTATGAAAAATGATATATTAATTGCACATGTATTTTACTTCAGGTTTAATTGCAAAAAATGAAACAAAGTGACTTTGGTCAGATTTCCATTTTAAAAAATACATTCAAACCACAAAAAGAAAAAGTTTCATAAGTTGTTTTTAGATGGTTAAATATAATCTTTTTTTCTTTAAAAATCTTTAAAAAAACATAAAAGATGCATATATTTTTTTTTATTTATTTTCCTATCCCATCAAATGATGGAATTTTATGACATGATACTTCTAATCAAAAGCTAAACAAATCTTCCAAAATCAAATTTCCAGTGTGTTTAAGATTATTCTAGCATGGCACCAGTTGTAGGGTGTGCAGAAAAGGATTGAAAAGATATGGTATATGCATGCTAAATTACAACTTTCAAGATCATTAGAATGTTAGTGTTTGTATGCATGTAAATGAAATAAAGAAAATTACACAAAACATAGGAAAGAAATGTCTTGTAAACCTCCTTGATAAAATCATAGGTGATTTGTAACATACTTGAAGAAGAGGATAAATTTTTTTGTTTCTCAAAAATATTTTCAAGAACAACCCACATGAAGTTTATGGAGCATGCCTAGTAAGGAATCGTCAATCTTCAGATTTGATGGCAATGTGCATACATCATGCCCTAAGAAAATATTCATTGGATTCTAAAATTTATGAAATCCCTCTTCACTAGAAGCATGGCTCATAAGAGGATATTTCAGTGCAAATACATCCACCTACAAGATTTGTTGTTGAAATCAGCTTGTTGGGGATGCCTTCACAACCCAAGTCTTCCAAGATTTGCTATCCTTTTGGTTGATGACTAGTTACCATGCACAATAAAGCCATAGTTGTATCATTGTTCCTTTGTATCTGCAGACATACATCAACTAAGGTAAGCACTGCTTTATGTCAACATTTAAAAATAGTCCATAAGGCATGTTATCAATAGGTGTTATCAGAAACATTGAGAAGGCCAAACTTAATTTGTTCAAAACCTCAAAGAAAGTAGCAACTTGGCAACAACAACCTTGAAACTTGCCTGAGCTTTTGCAGAGATTATCATGAGACGATTGTAAATAATTTCTTCCTCCAATTCATGAATGTGGCCAATCTCAACTTGGAGCATCTCATCTGTGATTCTGGTGCAGTAATAGTAATAACATCAAACACTTTTAGTGTGGGTTTCTTTCAATGGTGTTATGCTATTAACAGACTCAAGTATATCCATTCAAATTGAGGACCGTACCTCTTTTCCTCATCTAGACAGGACTTGTAAGTGTCATGCTCTTTGATCCAAAACTGGTGTTCTTTGTTCATGACTTCCTCATCCTCCTGCCTACCTGTCATTCACTCCATTCTTCATTGTATACTAGAACTTTCATTCAAAATTGTATACACACAAAAACCAATGTTTCATATGTTCCCTATTATTGATAAAATAATAATAGTAAAATATAAAAAATGGACAAAATATATCAATGAAGTTCTTTTATCTTCTACACACAGAGAATATTAAGCTAGAACTCTGAGAAGTAGAAAGTGGCACAATAATGTGCAACAAAAAACCTGGAGGTAGTCCATTATTTTTCCAAGTGGATTGGTGGCTTGACATAGAACCTGAACCAGCTTTTGTAGCTTCTGAATCTAGATTGACAAAATACACACACACACATCCATGCATGCACACACCATCTCAATTTATAAATATTACAATATGTTAAAAAACAAAAGGAAAAGACACATCTGAGAAAGAAGGGAAAAAATTATGTAGTTCCAGGTTTTGCAGCACATGTGACATCAAAAAAGACTCTGATGGCAGTAATATACCTCTTCCTGCTCAAACTCTGCAACCTCATTACTAGCCCCCAATATCAGGTCTTGTTCTTCAGGTGACTCAATTTCAACCTTTGTAACATGATCAACCAAGGATCAATATTAAAGACAGCCTTATGCACAATCTTAAACATGTAAGTGTGTTAAAATGGTACCATTTTACAAGATTTTGCAAGAATTTTGGGACTTACTATATTTTCTAAAACTCCTCTCAATTTTGCATTGCTTTGAGTAAGTTTTCCATGGTCAACTGATGCAGCCACCACCTGTACTCCTACAACGACTTGGTATCAAATTGTTGCAAAGAAATTGTATCCATTTGAAATGTGGTGCCCTAAAATGTCAAAGTGGGAGATTTTTCTCATGTTTAATTTTGGACCAACTCTTGTGAAAGGATTTGGAAAAGTATTATTGAAATATGGTAGTAACTTTGAAAAATGATGGATTGGGGCATGAATAAAGACATGCAAAGCATCAGATTCATCATCTTTTAGTGTTTTGTGGTCAAGAAAAATGCTTGGTTGTCTTGTGCAAGAAACTTCCTTTTCATTTTCACCTCCACTCATCCTTGAGTTAACATGCAAGAATAGAGAGGATGTCAATGAGGTCTTCAAAAACATTTGGATCAACATAAATGAATTAGATGTATATATATGTAATGTAAGTATATGCATTTCTACAAAAACTTAGAACAAACATACCCATATAATTAGCAAAAAGCACACAAACAAACAAACAAACAAACAAACTTTGGCTAATCTTGAAGCAAGTTCTGGTTGTCTATAACTTACAATGATGAAGTCATGTCTAAAGAAGTTGCTATTGGCTTAGGTGGAGCCTGCCATAGAACACAATATTAAAGTGTAATATGTGATAGTGCTTATGTTATTTTTTGAATTTTGATAAGAATTTGGTTTGTGCAAGTCATTGATTTCACAATTACCTTCTCATTATTCACAACAATACTGTGAATCTTGGGTGGCCCTTTGCGAGCAGATTGAGGCCTGGCAGAAACTGAAGAAAATCCACCCAATTCATCAAAGAAAGAATTCCAGGGATAAAGGTTCTCTCTTAGATCTGCACTTATATATTATTTATAATCAATAATTTATGTGTTCACACAATTCATAGTCATCAGCCTTGATCACAACGGCAATTTCTACTGCCAAATAAGTCTTTTTTATTTTTATTTTTATCAATGTATGTCAGCAAAATAGTATTAACTATATGTATAACATTCACATTAAAAAGGTTTCTATGGATGGACCAGATTCAGAACCATTTCCAATAATTAGTAGGACTAGAAAATAACAGAGTAAAATTTAAATATGACTATAAGAATTCATGCACAAAACATCTGCATGAGAAAGTATAAAAAGGCAAACTACAAAATACCCATTGTCATGTGTTGTTTGGTTGGTAGCACAGATTCATTTTGAATTGTTGAAGGATGTGTGTCCAACATGTTTGGATAAAGTGTGTCACAGCTTTTTATGCTTGTTTCTACACTCCAATTGAAGGCAAGTCAAAAGATGTTAAGTCTAATTCTTATAAAAAAAAACTTTAAACATGAGATTAAGTTGTTGATTAATTGCTTGTCACAAAATTTGGTCAAAGTATACTGATATTTCCTTACCAGGGAGTGACTGCACAAGTGGTGGCCAATCTTGATCTTTTGATGTCAGTGTAATTAATGGCTCAAAAACTCTGTTTTCTGTGTCTTCATTGAGCATTCTTTTCAAGTTGGTTGGTGTCTTTGCCCCTCTTGAGTTTCTCCCAATTTCAAATATTGGTAGTTGAGAAGAAGAAGGATGCAAATCCTCAATAAGATGAAGCTTTTGAATGTAGTTTCTATCTATCTCCTCCTCCTCCTCATTCTGGATTGTGGCATGGTTTCAATAACACTACAATTAATGACTTTCATTCAAGTTTTTAAATTTTATTGTACTAACAACATTCCAATGAAAGTGTGTGGGTACAATTTTTTGAAAAGCACTACCTTGATTGTGTTAGTTGGAGAAGTAATGCCTAAAATATTAGCTGCCATAGTCTCCTCTGCATTGCGATATGTTGATTCTCCTCTTTCTTTCATGTCAGGTAGCACACATCCTGTTTTGGTCTTCATACAGGAAAAATGAGATTCTCATGTTAATTATGGATTTGCCTGCCCTAGTGAAGTGAAGCCTTCTAATCTGTTCTAAATCTACCATCATCCTTCTACAATTACACTTGTAGGATGTTGCTAATATAAGCTATAGTAGAAATTGCTTTAATCATGCATATCATGAAGACTAATGAAAAAACATATATGGTGTGAATGATAAGACCTGACATAAGAAAGTACAAGTGAGTCCATTCCATTGTTCCTTGTTCAAGTGAGGGCATTTTTTCTCCAACCAACACCTTGCTCACAGCTCTTTGTTTGGTTGGACTATCAACTGTAGTAGCTGCTGCCAACATCTACAAACACCAGACTTGAAAAATTATTGTCCACATTCTTTCAAGAATAATAAATAGAGTATGGTATTATTTAAATAAATAAACAAACAAACAAACAAAAACAAAAACACATATAGTCCAGTAGTAGTATTAGTAGTAGTAATGAAGCATTTAAAAGTTGCAAAACCTGGTGGCTTACCTGAAGGAAAGTATTTGTTTGTTCTGGCTCCAATCCTGAAACTATCTAAAAATCACAACAATTGAAATAGATGAATACTTAAAATATTCAACATATATGTATGTATGTATGTAATCTTCTTGCAAGAGAAACAAACACACCTTAAATGGGCGGGCAGGGACATGAGCATTAAGTGTAATGCCAACACAGTTAATAATTTTATTCAAATAGTTAACTTTGCTTTCTTTATCCTACAACATCAAAGACAATCACACAGTTAATACTTGAAGTATTATTTGTTGTTGGATGCTTGATCAAATATCACAACAGTCTTGATAGGTGGTGATGCACAATGTGTAAGTATAAACAACAGTGTGCACTCTTCCAAAGCTATTCTGGAGATAAAATTCAATATGTGTCATTGTTTGCAAAGAAGCAATCATAATTAACTAAAGCTCAATTTATAAAATTTCTTCATATTCACACCTTGATGTTCGTTGAGATTTGTTCCTCTGGACTGAAAAGACCCCCAGCAAATCCAGTTTGACGAAATACCTATATCCATATCAATTATCGCAGCATTTTACTGATGTATGTGTTTATCATTCTTAAATTTTCCAGGTGATAAGCAACTTATAATCGATGTCTACTTGTCTGAGTGGAGTAGAGGTTCCACTGGCTGTCAAACTTGACCTAAACTTCCTCGTACACAACAACAAATTGAAATAGATGCACAGACGAAGAATTAAATTATTCTTCAGACTCTAAGATTTCAACGACTCACACGCATCATTCCGATTTTGACGTTGAAACCATTGCACCTGGAATATGGTGAGAACTGAGGTTTGTCGCATTGACATCAAATATGATCAGAATTGAACTGCGTTACGTTCTTGACCACAGAAATTGTATGCTGTCGATTTTCTTTTTTTCTTTTTTTCTTTTTTATCTTTTCTTTCTTTCTATTCTTTCCTTTCCTTCATCCGTAGAAGTTCCGCCTAAATTCACGTCTAATTCATCGCGGATTACTATGGAGTGAGAGCATAGAGAAAAAGAGATGGAATTGATCGAGGAATTGCCTCCGTGATAATGTCATGGAGAAAGCGGAAGGGAGGCTTCTTCAGCAGAGCTTCCGTGAGACGCGGCCTCCGGACAATCGCGGTGTCCCCCTGCAGTACCTTCTGCGTGGCTTCCCAATACTCCATCGCAGGTTGTCCTTGATACATCCTCGCCATGCTGAGTCCTGGCCGAATTTTTCTCCAACACACACCAGGCTGTCACAGCAAAAACATTCTCCAAGGTTCGGTCCCTTTCAAGATACCTACGTATCAGATTGGCAGCAGGCCCGATGCTGCACGAGTGATCTCAGCACCAAAATACCCAAACGCATGAATCGTGAAGGGGTGGCGACTCAAAGTGGTGGGAATTCACGTGCCTGCGTTCATGTATATCAAACAACACAAAACTAGTCCAAATTTTACAAAATCCGTCATCAATCCCAATATGACACTTCCGACTTCAGGATTTTTTATAAAAATAAGATAAATAAAATGAACTCAAATCACCAGCATTAATGCACAGTCAGTTAACTGTCGGAGTAGAATAGTAGAAACTCCGAGATACCAGCCACAGGGTATCAGTCACCGAATCTGAGGTTTCAGCTACCATCGCTCTTGTAACTTTCATGTGCAGAAACCGCATCAGCGGCGAAAGGTTGTTTTAACTAAAGCAATTGCGGCTCCGACTGCAGAATAACAGCCGTTGGACAATTGCCAGGGACACCGCCACCATTACAGACCAGAATTTCACGGCGGGTTTGGCGATGATCATGCACAATCCAGCAGCATCGGAGTGTTCCAGTCAGTGCTCGCTCGGGACACTGACTGGAACACTCCGATGCTGTCGATGGGTTCTCAAAGCTCTCTCCGTGGTTGAGCTTCTTCGTCTGTTTCCACGTCCATTGTGTGGAGGCCTCGTCCACTTCAAATCCAAACATATATATATATATATATATATATATTTATATGTATATATGTATATATATATAATACAAATCTAAGTCATGCAAGGATTTTTTGTAGATATGATTTTTAAAAATATATGGTTAAATTAATAATACATGCTTGTTAATTGTAGCATTATGTTTTTTTTATAGGTTTTTTAAATACATGGTGCACTATTACCTTGCATTAAATAAATACCTTAGCTTAAGTGCTCAAAGTTGACAAGTGAATTGTATTTTATTTATGGTGTTTTTGATTTTTGATTATTATAAAATAAAATAAAATAAAACATTGGAATTGAATTTAAAATGTATGTATTTGTAAAGACTCAATAAAAAAAAGATATTAATCTTAAATCTTTAAAAGAATTAGTTCACATTTACATACTATCTCCTCATTTATATATTATAATATTGTTATTTTATTTTTATTTTTAAATCTCTCAAAAATGTATATTTCTATATCAAACAATCTATACTCATTGATCAGTGTATTAATAGTCTATGCAATAATTGGAAAAAGAAAACAAAAAAACCGTATGTTGTACATACACTTACATACTTAAAAACAAAACTAAATGATTAGGAAGTTGCAAAAATATATTAGTTTCATTGCTTTGTTATAAAATTTTATTAGTAAAAGCATTTATCCTAATATAAACCATTATGTATAAATACTACTCATAGGCTTACATAGAGATTTTCATATATATTTTTTATAATTATTATTATTTTAAAGAAAACTAAAGCATAATACTATAAATTTTCAAACTATTTTTATATTCTATGATTAGAAAATTTTAATTATTAAAATACAAAATAACCATTAAATTTTAAAAAACAGAATTTAAGATTTTGAATAATAATAAAATCTTTTTTCTGAAATCAAAAGTATTTAAAAATTGAAAAGCTAAACCATAAAGCTATAGATCTACAATATTGAATTTTATGTAATAATGCTTGTACAACATTACTAGAAACTTGAATAAAACTTTGTTATGTTTAACAAGTAGTATATCTACACATATGTATATTTATATATATACATTTATACATGATCAATGTGTTTGTGTTCTTTTAAAACAAGTCAAATTTTTTTTGAAAATAATTGATTCTATACCTTTCATAAATGTGACTTATAATTTTTTTATTTTTTGTTTCATCAGAATAAAGTGATAAATGTCAAAACAAACAATGTTATTTTTAAAAACATAATACCAGATAAAATTATGTATGATGAACTATTAATACTTAATCTAACATGAATTTGATATGTACGTATTATAAGATTACTTTTATATTTATTATAATTAAATCTGATTTCTTTGTTTTGTAAGACATATAAGAAAGCCAATTAAAGATGCATACTAGTATGCAATATAATCAGAAATCACAACGTGAACAATGTATTGAAGAATTACTCAAAAACATTGCATTAATACTACACAACAAATAAATAAATAAATAATAAACATCCAAGTTGAAAACTCATGATTATAAATATAAAATTTAGAATGTAACTACATGAATATATATATATATATATATCTTTATATATGGAACAAATGCATTAACAAAAAACACATGAGCAATATAGACACGAACATAATAAAAACACACTTCCAATCATCATATTGATAAATAATCATAATAATCATAATACTTAAAGTCCATCTTGGTAACATTTTAAATTTTTTTATTCATGTCGTTGGTTTACATAGATAGAATTTTGTTTTCTTTTTCTTTTTCTTTATTTGCATAATTAGAAAAACATTTTAGCTTGACAGAAAATTTATCCTCCTAATTGCTCATCTATTGTAACATTCTTCAATCGGCAATTACAACAAGTTTTGTTTGTCTTTTTATCATATTAATCTTTATGACATCTTGTGTTGGGCAAAGTCTTAAACAATGTCTTCTTCTATACCATATCTCATAGAAAAGTAAAATAAAGAAATAATTTAATAGAAAATAATAATATTAAAATACTGAATACATAGATAAAACATTAACTACTAGTTTAAAATAAAGAAGTCTACCCATGGGATATTGTAGTTGGTTACACCTTTTGTGTCCAAATAAGACATATTATATTGTGAAAAAATAGGGAAAATTACTTCCTTGAAGCTACATTGTAAAAAAATCTTGGGACATCATTTGTTATCAAAGCATGGCAATAATATGCCATTAATTGTAGAAATAAATAAATAAATAAATAAATGGTGAACATTGTGAAAACATTTGGTTTCTAATTCTTTTGCTTTCTAATTCTCATTTAGTTAATTTCTTGTAATGACATGACAACTACAAGTTTAATGGAGGCACATCAACCCCCAATAAGTTTGAGATCACATAATATGTGGTATACAAACACCAACATTTCCCACACGAGAGTATCATAATATACGATACTACAATACAATATACCACGATACGAAATACGATACACTACGATAATAAAAAAAACCGGAATGGAGTGGGAGTCGAAGAGCCCCATCGAAAGAGGGGATTGGCGCTCCAAACAGGCCGAGTGGATGCGGCGCCGGCCTGGTCACAGGGAAAACCGATGAGGCCCTGAACGGGTGGGGGGGGGGGGAGACGAGAAACGATCGGGACCTCCCAGCCCTAGGATCCACTACCCCCTTGCAAACCCTCCCGCCCCCCAAGCCCCTTTCCCTGCCTTCCCTAGCTTTGTATTGTGTTTGCCTTCGGCCTAGCTTTACTTCTTCACTCACCTCCTGCTACCTGCTGTGCTCGGTACGTTGCTCTCCCTCTCTTCTTCATGCTCCTCCCTTCTTCCTCCCTCGCCCTCGTCCTCGCTCTGGTCGTCTGTTTTTTTTTTCCTGCCCTTCGCGCTCTCTTTCGACACCCTTGTCACTCGCTGACACGTCCAGGTGTAGTTGCTGGATGCCTCCGTCTGTGTTTGAACTCACGCCGCCTTAGGGCCGGTGTTGGTGTCGCGTCCCCCCCCCTTTAATCTTCGCTGCATCTTGTGTTGTGCATCTTGTGTTGTGTTTTCTCGGATTCTTACCTAGGATTCTCTTTTTCCGGGTCATCGTGACTTGATGTCTGGCTCTTTTCTTCTGGGAACTTAGTATAGTGCGTTTCGCTGTGTGGAGAAGGGGATAGGTTCTGGTCGACTACGGGAAGGTAGTGTTTGTTTTTGCATATATGTCGAAGGTTGGTTCGTGAAGTGTATATATAGCGCAGTATTCTTCTGACCTCACAGGTTTTGTTCGTGCCGTGATTCTGATGGCATGTTAGGTCCCACGTAGGTTTTGTAGAATGTCCTACTTGAAGGTGCGATGATGAAGTCACGCCCTCTTCTGTGAGTATGTTTTGATGAGCATTGCAGTCAATGCACCTTCTCACAGTGCCTGCTATATTATCTAACTGGTATCTACTTGATGAGGTGGATCTCTCAATCTGAACCAGGGGAAAACATTATATTCGCCGTCCGTGATCTTACTTTTTGAGTGACTCATCTTATGCTAGGTTTCTGTCAAAATGAAGAATTAAAGATCTGTTAGATCCTCAAAAGCCTAGGTTTGTTAACATCGTTGTTGATCATCCAGCTTCGGACGGATCAGTTAGCATTGAAAAACGTTTATTTCATAGCCGCATACTTTATAAGTCTACTAGAAGTTTCGCTTTTATTGTTTGTAATTTGTTTCAAGTGACGAGAATTTTATTTCCGTGGATTCTCATACCTGACATTACACATGATTTTTTATTTTCGTGCAGTGACAGATCGAATTCTCTTGCATACTTCCTCAGCGCAGGAGGTCGGTCGGGCAGGTTACCATGGGCAAGGGACCAGGGTTCTACACAGATATTGGGAAGAAGACTAAAGGTACAGATCGCTAATTGTTTACTTTCAAGGTTAGGGCTGACAATTATCAATCACGGTTCCGGTGGGATTAACTTGAGTCTCTGATCGTCCTTTCTGTACAGATCTTCTTAACAAGGACTACACATATGACCAGAAATTTGTCATCACCACAAGCACCAAGTCTGGATTGGTATGTAGTTGTTTCGATATTTTGTGAGATGGATTTAGTTTCTCTTGTGTATTGACGATTTTAGATTATGTTTTGTAACTTAAGCGGTAGGACTATTTCACCTAATTTAAGAGTATTTCCCTCACTGCAGAGTGTCGATTGCTAAGCTAACTGTCGTATCTGTTCTCAGGCCTTCACCTCGACTGGGTTGAAGAGGGGAGAGGCATTCACAGGGGATTTGAACACGCAATTCAAGAACAAGAATGTCACTGCTGATGTGAAAGTTGACACCAAGTCGAATGTAAGGATTCAGCGTGGAGAGCAGATTAGATTGCTGCTTAAATCATGCCTTACCTGCGTCATTGTCGATATCCGTCAAATCTGAACCAGAGTTTTGGGCGATTTGTTTCCACAGATTTTTACGACTATCACAATCGATGAGTTCGCACCCGGAGCCAAGAGTGTGTTCAGTTTCACTATCCCCGACCACAAGTCAGGGAAGGTACGGGTTTAATCGACTTGTAGATCAGATTGTTGTTTGACATCATGCAATTGACAACCAATTGATTCTTTAGAGTTTTTGTATTCAATCTAATCAAGAATTTATACTATCGTGCTGTTTCTTCCAAACAGCTTGAGATTCAGTACAAGCAAGACTACTGCGGAATTACTGGTTCCATTGGTTTGTCGCCTTCACCTATTGTGGAGGCAACCGGGGCCCTTGGGAATGACGGGTTCTCCGTCGGTGGTGAGGTTGCCTTCGACTCTGCTAATGGGTCACTAATTAAGTACAACGCTGGTGTCGGTCTGGTTAAGCCCGACTTCAACGCCTCCATAATCTTGTAAGCCTTGACCAGTTCACGATCAAATTGTTGGTGGCACTTTCAATTATTGTTATTGCAGCACAAATTTCTTGGAGCTAAGCACCTCCAGGCTGTCCATTCCTTGATTGTGTTAGCTCCTTTGCAAACACAGGGCTGAGAAAGGCGACTTGCTGAAGGCTTCTTACCTACACACAGTGAGCCCAATTTCAAGGACGACCATGGCTGCTGAGATCGCTCACAGGTTTTCCAAGAATGAGAACACGTTTACTGTCGGAGGTTTGTACGAGTTGGACACTCTAACCACTGTGAAGGCTCGATTGAACAACCATGGAAAGTTAGCTGCCCTACTCCAGCACGAGTGGAGGCCGAAGTCTCTGGTCACCTTATCTGGGGAGGTGGATACTAAGTCCTTGGATAAGACAGCGAAGATCGGTTTGGCTTTGGCTCTCAAGCCATGAGAAGATGAACTTAAGTCCTTAACTTTGGACTACTCTTACTGGGTGGTGCTTACGACTAGAACGGTGTGCTGCGTTGTGATTTTTGACTTAGAAGATGTGAGGTTGTCTCTACGTTTAACGTTCTGTTTCGCAGAGATGGTGAGATCACACCAGGAAGAGAATAAGAGTTTCTGTATTACTGCTCAATTTTAATGAACGATCAGATTCTTTCCAGAATGAGTTCGAAAAGTTGTTACCGAGATCCACGCGTTCATTTTGGAATTTCCTTGAAAGTTGTGATTTATCAGGCTTTGCTTAGCCCTGACTGACTGTGACCATATTTTAAACGCGTTTCAAGTCATTGCGGTTGAAATTGATGATCATTGCAAGGACCAGATCTGTCTTTCGTTCTGAGATTCTCACTGAAAAGAAACACTTCTGCCCATGAGATTCAATGGAACGCTTCATTTAAGGTGCAATCATAATGGGAAGCAGTAGAAGATGCTCCTCGCTATATCTAAAGAACGTCGCATAGTCGAAATAACCAAGAAGCTGAGCTAGTTCATATTCCAGTAATTCGTACACTCTCATCACTGGTGCATCCACAACATCTCAAGATTGAACATAGTCTTCAATCACGAGGGTTGTGTGGGTTAATGATTGAATGTAAAATACACATTCTGTCATCGCACTCACGTTTCCACTGCTTTATCTTCTCATGTGGTGAAAGGGCGATGCTTAGGCAATATTAAAGCAGTTACATGTCATCGAATCATGCCCTCTGTCAAAGCGTTCGTGAATCCCTGAAGAGCATACGCATTTTGACAATCATACCTGCAGGCAGGCACCATCTAAGTCTTGTGGTGATTCCAAGCTATATCTAGTTGGTGAGCAGATAGCACAAACGAAGAAGTGGGGTTTGGCGAATATATGACAAGAAGCATTAATTGGTTGCATTTCGCACCTTTAATTCATAACGGGCTCTCACTGTGTCTACACTGACAGGACAGTTTGTATTGCCATCTCTTTCACTGTAATTTTTGAGGTGTGCAGTTAAGCATGGATTACTAAATTCTTCGTCTGAAATTATATTAAAAAAAGAAGAAAAAAGGAAATCATCTCAAAGTGGGTTGCAATTGTTATCTACCGTTGAATTCAAGCCCACAGTAGTTTCCAAGAAAAGTCTCATTGCTATACATGTGGAAAATACTATGGCATCAGAAATATCGACATGCTAACCCTACCAAAAATAGTTAAAGACTTGGAATAAATCTTGGACATCTACTTTTAAAAGAAAAAGTTATAATTTTTTGGCATATAAAGCGGTTCAAAGAGAACAAAAATTAATGATTTTAATCATGTACTTGAAAATTCAAATGTTGAATGTTGTTGTTGTTATTATTATTACTTCAAAAATAACCTATTGATCAATTGTAAAAGATTATGTACCAATATTTAATTCATTTATACCAAATATGATGAGATATACAATAATTATAAAACCATTGATCAACTCTTACTATAAATTTTTAGAAAATAACATCTTTCAATGCATATGAGATTATTCTAATTTTTATGATAAAACAATAACTGCAAGAAAATGAAGTGGACCATGTCCAACTCCATCTTAACAAATTACATGTGCATTAAAACCATAGTTATAAGTAAGTCAAAAAAGTTTAATAATGAAGTAACTAAAGGATAAAGGATGGTAGGTTGTGTGCAATGTAAGGTCTATCTTTAATTTTAGAATGAAGCTTCATTACAAGTACAAGCTTTCAACCTTTAAATAAATATATATCCGTTTGAATGGCAATTAGGCCACCAAGATACTTAGAAATTATAAAGAGAATTTAAGAATAAATTAGAAGTTGTGATATAATCAAAAAACTTTCTACGTTATCATAAAATCTAGTTTTCTAAGAATAAAGTAGTGAAAGGTGGTATCAAACATGACATATTCCAACCACATTAGCATTTATTACATTAAAACATTCTTTTCTTCTGAAGATCCACAAAACAAAGAATATTTTTTGATATATTTTCAAAATCTAAATGCATAGTACCTTCAATAGATAGATAATATAGGACACATTTTTTAAAATCGTAGAAACATTCAGATCTGTTTTTACCTTACAACAGAAAAATGCCACTATATAAGATTTATTTTATTCAAATCATTGTGTGTCTTCACATAAAGTATTATAGGTACTTTATGTTGTGGATATACTTTTTTTAAACCTTTGCAATTGTGATTGCTAAGAGTTAATACAAATATGAGCATAAAGTAACATACCACAACATTAGACAATAGGAAAGTTTTATTTTTTATTTTTATTTTTATTTTATTCCAATTGGTGTGGTCTTCTTAAAGTACTTTGTGCAATCATATAAAGTTAGAGCTTTAATTTTTAGAGTCATTAAAACATAGAATTGAAGCAAATTTCTTTTAAATCGAATTAGATAAAAGAAGATTTTATTCATACCACAATTCATAAGGGCTGAAAAAGAATAGTAATGTATATCTACTAAATTATTAGTCTATAATAATCTATAGCAAAGAAAGGTCATAGACATAGTGGTTTTTACAAAAGATTCTTTATTTTCATATATCCATCTTAATTATTTGAAAACATACTAAATTAAGCTATTTTTCTTTAAATAGTATCTAGACATGGTTTATTAGTCTATTAAGGCTTTTATAAATAAATTCTTAAAAAACTAAAAAAAACTTCTATATTAGCATATAAATGTTTTAGCAATTGTGCTAAATTATATAATAATGGCCAATTTATGATAATTTTAGAATATAATTATAAATTCATCTAATCTTAAAAATATTTTACTACCACCAATACATAGGTACTTGTACATAGAATTACAATGGGTTCTTTAAAATTTAAAAACCAATCATATTCTAAATCTAAGATAGGCAAAGATCTTGATTGAGGTAATAAGGTGTTAAAACTTAGAGAATTTCGGTTTACATTTCTTACAAAGAAATACAACTAGCAACTTGTTAATACAAGTCTATATACTGATATTAATTGTATAATATAAAATACATTCTATATATTCTATGTAGTGTAAGATGACTCAACTCTTCATGTACTTGCTGTATCAAAGATATTCCTATAATTGAGCTTTTAAACTATGAACTTAATGTTATATAGTCATATACTAAACAATAACCTATTTTTTGAATAGATTTATTTTAATTTAATTTTTATATGTATAACTATCTTGTTTTAATTGAAAAGATAAAAAAATATTTATTTATTTATTTATTTGAAGTTTGTATAAAATTAAAAGATCTTTCTACATACTATTAATAATTGAAGATTAATCAACGACTTCATCTTGGTAAATATAAAATACCTTAAAAATAGATCTTAAAATCAAAGTAAGATTTTTTTTGTATTATTTAGAATTTTCTTCATTTCTCAATCTTCATGTTACAAGAATAAATTCCAAAAAAATATACTTTATTACAAGTATTCTAATATATAAGGATTTTTTAAATGAAAATTATTTAATTATGATAATAATCACCTTATTTTAAAATAATAATAATAATAATAATAATAATCATAATGATAATAAATATTAAAAATCTAAAAAAATATTATTGGAATAAAAATCATAATTAAATTAAATATTTTTTATAAAACATATTTTTTTCTATAAATATTTGTTTTATTATTGACCTTAAATTTAGTAAATATATAGTAGTATAAAAGAGAAGATATGCTATATTTGGTTCTATTCTCTAATTTTAATTATTTGATGTTTAAATTTTATATATTCATGTGTATAATTATTAATTTGAAAAAAATATCAATTTTAATTTTAACATCAAAATGTTACATATTATGTTATTTTAAACCAAAATTTTAAGTTATTTAAAAATATTTTAAAGAAATAATACAAAAAATTATGAAGATTCTTATAAAATCTTTTAATATGATTGTACCATATTTTTAGAAATGAGTAAGTATTATAAATGTATATATGGATTTTACTTTGTACATGTGGCAAAGATTCTTAAAAAAGCTAGATGAGGTTCTTCTAAAGTTTTATGGAGGACTTTTAAAGATACCTTAGAGAATCTCCCTTGATGTTGCCAATGATGGTGCAAATCATAGTGTTGGAAGCTCTAATTTTAAAACAAGTTCCATTGCAGTCCATTCAATCATACCAACAAAATTAAGAGTTTACTTGGCAACCTATTATAGACACTCTTTCTTCCTACTGTGGCTAACACATCTAAATTTTGATCAATAGTAGAATTACAGTGAAGGAGCTTTTTGGAAGCAAAGATAAGGATGGAAGAGGAGGAAGGAGTGAAGAGAGATCTACTAAAGTATTGATAAGTAAAATTAAGCATAATTTTTGTTAACCATCTTACTTTGTGGTTGGAGACCACCTCATGTTGGCCTTTGCTAGGGCACCATGAATAAAGCCATAGTATGAAATTCAATATTTAATATATTCAATATATTAAAATCTTTTTGATGAAATTTTTATTTTATAGAAAGATATTATATTATGGACCATTAATTTTTGATAATTTTTTTTAAGAACCAAACAAAATATCTATTGATTTTTTTATTTTTATTTTTTATTTTTATCAATCTTGTAGTAGAAAAAAATAAAAATAATAATACTATTAATTGAATATTTATAAAGTATATAACATGAGATTGTGATGAATTAAAATAAATAATAAAAGAATTTTGTTATATTACAACATGACTATATGATAAAAATATAATCAAAAATAAATTTCTAATTAATATTCTATCATCTTGGTTCAATAATAATTCAATATATTTAAACATAGCTTTTATAAATATCTTTTATTTTATTTTCTTATTTTAATAGCTAATAGATTAAAGATTAGTTAGTAATTTTACCTTTTAGGCTATAGAAATTCTTTTACTATCTTAAAAAAGCTATAAATTTATAAAAATATGATCAAAGAGATAGCTAATTAGTATGGTTAATATTAGGATTAATTGAAGATAGGATCATGCTAAAAAATTCCTAAGATAGGTTAGATAGATTTACAAGGATCAATTGTTTGTGGAATATGGTCAAATCAGACTTCTAGCCACTAAAATGGCTGTGTGTCAAGGGCATGAATCTCAAAGAAAGAAAATCCTCAATACACTCTTCTATCATTGAAAGGAACTAAAAAGTCACTGAAAGATGATATAATATTGAACTAGAATGGCTATTGCTAAAAACAAGAAGATTAGA